GAGGAATAAGAAGGGAGAGAAGAAAAGAATCTCCAGACAGTGTATATAACAGCTCAATAAGTGAGCTAAGTTAGGCAGTAAGATACTAAAGAAGCTAACCTTGAACCTTTGGTAACCACGAATCTAAAGCCTGCAATGGCAATAAGTGCATATCTCTCAATAGTCACCCTAAATGTAAAAAATAAACCTTCCAGATTGCAATACTAGCCTTATGTCTACAAGCAAATACTCTTCAGTTTCAATTCAACTAGGACATATATATATTATAACTTGTAAAAATATTGCCTATTTTTTATAAAAACTATCTAGAAAAGTATGATTAGAGAAAACATTGACAGTGTCTAAATGATTTTTATGCATGAGTATACAAGTTTTAAATAAATATAACTAACCTTATTTCTTAATAGTGCCATAAGGAGTATAATAATGCAATCTTGAATTAAGAAATATATTTGATGAGAGAAAGTATATATAATGAATATATATACATTTTTTTTCCTAATGAATATTATATGCACCGGTAAAATAATCATTTGTGCTACTGGACCAACCTTTGTGTCTATGAGATCCATCCATGTTGCTGAATTCAATGTGATTTTCATCAGCCCAGTAAAGTCTATGATTGACATAATCTATTGTTAGCGCCATGGGTCTGGAAATCATGGTTTCTATGACAACACTCTGATTGGTTCCATCCATTCCAACGCGGCCAATGTGAGGAGACTCACAGCAGTCAATCCAATACAAATACCTAGGAAAGAAAATCAATGGCCATTTTGTTTACAGACACTCAGAAAAATGCCACACAATATTTCACTTATTTGCTCAGCTAGACCCAAATTCATTCTTGGTATCTTTCTGAATTGTAGCTTTTAAGAAGCATACTTCAATGCAAGCTTTTATTATGATTTTTATTAACACACAGTGCACTTTGAAGTACCCATTTTATTTTAAACTTGTTTTCTTCAGTACACAAACATATATATAGTATTTCCTCAATTATTAACAAATTATAGCAACCCTAACTCATAGACGTAAACCTTCAAATGCATCTATAATGTTGGAGGAATAACACGATTGAGATACACATTTTTCTTTTGGGTTATTAACTCTGAAAAATTAAAAATGAATTATGGATAAGTACATTATATTTACTTGAATCTGCACTGCTCAGTGTGGTAGCCACTAGCCAATTGTGACTCTTTAATTTAAATTAATTACAATCAAATTAAATGAAATGAACTGGGTTTTTCCTCATTCACAATAGCCGCATTTCAAGAGCTCAGTAACCATGTTGTGTGGCATCCATACTGAATGACATGGATACAGAGCACTTTAATCAACACAGGAAGTTCTATTGGACAGCACAGATTTAAATTACGTTATTGGGAATTTTAGAACAGACTATTTCAGAAAATGGAAAAAATAAACAATAAAATGAAGAAAGTTATATTTGTCCTAAAAGTAATTAAGTTAAAAATAAATATTATACCCTATACAATACAATGTAAGTGTGAAGAATTTACTCAAACATTTCTATTTAATTAAAATATTTTTTTTCATAATATGAAAAGTCACTTTATCTTTTTTAATGTTTCTTTTTCTATATAATTTAAGATTTTGAATTAGAGGATCTTTAATGTCCTTTTCACATTCTAACTCTAAAATTGAAACCGATCAACATAATTACTTTTCTCAGACCTCATCCTTTCTTTCTAGTAAGTACAGAGCCCTTCACAATTAATTCTTCATATTCAGAAGATATTCAATTAAAATAATATGGTACAAAATTATTCTATATGGTTTATGATTTATGTATTTAGCTTATATTTAAAATGGTCCTTAAAGAAACAGAGATAATTGTGTTCAGACATTTTAACCATATACTAGAAGAGAAATAAAAGTTTTCAGAGAAAAACATTTATCAAATACAGGGATAACATCATAGTTATAAGAAACATGCATTTTTGTGTTGACTTGAGGGGTATGTATAAAGGTAGGGGAATAGTGGATTATAAAGATAATTTTAAAAAGTTATTTGTAGCCAAAATATAATTGATTCCTAATTAAGCATGGAACTTAAAATGAGAAATATATCTCTGTCAACAACTAGACAAAGGTAGAATTTTGTGAGCAGAAATTCAAAATGAACTCTGAGAGTAAAACTTAGAAGCAAAATTGAGTCTGGGAATACCAGTCAAATTTGCATAGGGCAATACTGGAATTGCTACCCAATACTGCTGTGTATCTATGTTAATTCCAAACATATTTTGAAACTCTCAAATCGTCAAATAATAATAGATGTCAAGCCCTCTGAAAACTGATTATTCTGTTTCTTTAAATTTTGAATTATTTTTGGTACATTTTCATTTTCAAAGCAAACATATGTCTATAAAATACATCTAAAAAAGCACACAGTCCATTCCTTTCTAGTAAATTTATGGAGGAGCACTTTGCTCTCTATACTAGAGATAATGGCAGTATAGATAAAAGGGAAGAAACTGAATCAGAAAGAAATAAAAATGCAAAGATAGCTTATCTCATTGAAATAAATCATAACATTCTTTCTTTGCCTTACTGACACATGAATTTTAGGAACATTAACATAGCAACTTTATTCCTAATAAATGATGTGACTATGCTAGCTTCTCTCATATATGTTAGAGATGATCAAATTTATTTGACTTCTCCTTTCTAGTAAATTTATGGAGGAGCACTTTGCTCTCTATACTAGAGATAATGGCAGTATAGATAAAAGGGAAGAAACTGAATCAGAAAGAAATAAAAATGCAAAGATAGCTTATCTCATTGAAATAAATCATAACATTCTTTGCCTTACTGACACATGAATTTTAGGAACATTAACATAGCAACTTTATTCCTAATAAATGATGTGACTATGCTAGCTTCTCTCATATATGTTAGAGATGATCAAATTTATTTGACTTCGCTACAATCATGTAATGTTTTTCATTATTTCATATAAGCAAATAAAAAATTTGAAACTGGTATTTCAGCAACTTCTATAACATTAGACAGAATATACCCAATTTGGTTAATTAGAGATGGTATTTGTATTTCCATTGAACTATTTGTTCTACTTGGGCTTGCAGTTTTAGTTTAAATATCCCAAAAGTGGGAAAGAATCTTCTCCATAAAATGCTATCAACAAAGCACTGTAAATTATTAGATATGAATAATAATTTTTTGAATTCACTAAGTAAATTATGAATTTCAAATAGTCTGACCTCAATATATTCTAATTCTGGATCTAGGTCTAAATTTTTATTTATATTCTGAACTTTTTATTTAGCTAATCTTATCACCATCTTGGACCAAGTTATCAAGAAAAGGAAGAGGATATTTCATATAGTTTAACATCTGTTACATCCCTCTCAGTAAGTTTGGTAAGGGTTCCAGGCCTGAAATCCTCAACCTGCCATTCAAACTCTTCATATTGGGCACAAATATACTTCTCCAAATTATTTCCCACTACTGGCATGTGAATTTGGCTGCAGTTGGAGCATTTATAATAACACATTTTCACACCTGTGCTTTCATCATACCATTCATCTCCTTCCTGCCTCTTCAATTATGTAGATATGTTGATTCAGAAATAATTCAAATTGCCCCCTCTGATCTCCACAAATTCTTCCCTGATTACTGTTAGTTTACATTTTTCAAGGTAGGTTGCAAGATTAAATATATTTGAGAAATGCTTTGTTAAACAAAGTAAGCATCATTGTTCTTACTGTAGAACTTTTCAGAGCCCTGAATATGCTGCACAGCACAGTGAGTCTCTAAGGCGAGCTGAGTACCCCTTTTTTCACACAGTTTCAGTTGTTAGCATTTATTTGCCTAGAGAAGTTCACAGGAGACACACTTTGGGAAACTGCTTTAGGCCTGCCCTGCCTACAGAATTTCTTTTACTTATCACTTATGGAATCGAACAACACATACCAAGCACATAGGAACCCACAAAACAGTAATGATGTAGATTCTCAAGCCCCAGAGAATCTGACTCAGTCAGTCAGTTGATGGAACATCTGATATACCCTAAACTAAGTAAATTGAAAGCAATATTTGAAACAATAATTTGTGGAGACTTTATTATGTACCAGATACTGCTTAATACTAGGAACAGAGAGGTAAACAGATGATTTTTGCTTCAAAAATCTCTGTGAATACTATAAAGGTGAATGTAAAACAAAGGAAGCAAATAATATAATGAAACTATTTTACCATGGAGGCACAAAAGAGTGAGTGACAATTTTACCTATATGTGAAGGTATGAAAGAAATTTTGTGCTTACTGTAGTTACATTCAAACCTACCTATGAATTCCATATAATAATGATCTTTGTATCTTTCTGATTTTAGAACAAAACATAACAACTGAAGATTTTAATGGTACAACAGGTCTTTAAGATTATGTAGCCTAGGCCTTAATTTTACTGATACACTAATACCATAAAAGACTTTGTGCTTTGTCCAAATTACTTTCATGGTAGTAATACATTGGAATGACTCAGTTCTCTACATTTATGAACTAGCTTTTTTTCTAAGCAGTACTATATAGTGTCTTAAGCCCTAAAAATGATTACCTGGGTTCAAATTCCAGGTCCTTCCACTACTTGCAATGTGAATTTGGATACTCTAATTAGCCTACCTGAGACTGGATTTACTCATATGTTGAAAAGGGATAGTAATCATTTATTCTCATAAATACACTGAGGATTAAATGAGATAATACAGGGAACAAACTTTTACCACTCACAAGCATGGAATAAGTGTTCAACACATGTTAGCTATTAAATTTAAAAAGGGGTTGCATTTCAGATGCTAAAATGGGTTCAGTGGAAATGTCAAATGGAAAGTTCCAAATTTCAACCATGTCACATGTAACGTTTCCCAAAGATCACATCTAAAAAATCTCAGCCCCAATTAATATCTGTTCTTTAATTTACAACAAAGTGTAAACATATAAAGAATGTTTGCCTGCAACCATAAACACAGGTTTCTGTGATTCCTGAGAATGTCTTTTAATATTTTAATAGTTTAATATATTTTATTTCTATAAAATAGATTAAAATAGAAATCTGCTCTCACTTTTTATAATTTATTTCTTTTTTTCTAGATTCAGGGAATAAATTCAGAGAAATTTCTTTCAGCTGTAATATTATAATTTTGAAATATAAAATTGATCCTTCATGTTCATTCCCTAAGTGTTTTTGCCCAAGTATGGGAATATTGGTTTAAATATTTTTAGGCAAAAAGTTTTTTTTGTTCTTTGTTTTTTTTAAATTTTTTATTAAGGTATTTGATATACACTCTTATGAAGGTTTCACATGAAAAAACAATGTGGTTACTATACTTACCCATATTATCAAGTCCCCACCCATGCCCCAATGCAGTCACTGTCCATCAGTGTAGTAAAATGCCACAGATCCAATATGTGCCTTCTCTGTGCTACACTGTTTTCCCTGTGATCCCCACACCATGTGTACTAAACATAATACCCCTTAATCCCCTTCTCCCTTCCCACCCCTTTGGTAACCAGTAGTTCCTTCTTGGAGTCTCTGAATCTGCTGCTATTTTGTTCCTTCAGTTTTTCTTCATTGTTATACTCCACAAATGAGAGAAATCATTTGGCACTTGTCTTTCTCACGCCTGGCTTATTTCACTGAGTATAATATCCTCCAGCTCCATCCATGTTGTTGCAAATGTTAGGATTTGTTTCTTTCTTATGGCT